ACTACGCTACCGAGTGCCCCAACTGAAATATTATGACAAATGTTATTAAAAATGGAAGGGAAGATTCATATAATCGCACACTTCATAATAATTAAAAAAATATATAAGTACAAATCCGTAGTTTTATTTCCTGATTATTCAATGACGCAATGGATATGTACTGCCCTACGTTTTTCTGACTTACAAAGATAAACGAGTTAATAAGGGATACAGCCCATCTATAAACTTGAGTACACAGACGATAACAATCTGTATTGGAACGAGACTAAAACGTCAGCAGATTACTGTCTGTGTTTTTTCTTGTCCTTCCATTTTAACCCTTCTATTCCTGTCTCTCTACTGAGAAGAGGAAGAGAGACAGATAATGATGTGGCTGTGGTGTACGAAAATACTTTCATTAGCCTCACATTGAATGAAGACGTAGGCTGGGAGAATGTTCAAGGTTTGTTCTTCTTTCACCGAGTTGCAACCAGATGGCTCTCGCACTGGACGAGAGATCAATTGTTGCGAAAGTATGGCGACAGTGCTGCTTACATACTAGGTCGTCAGGAGTGCTACGAACGGGGAACGGTTCAAATTTACTTCAACTGTGAAAGAGAGAAAGAGACGAGAGAAGAAGAAACTAGTCTCCGACTCTTTCTCCACTTGCAGGTCAAGACAGAGAATAAAACAACTGCTGAGTTGAAAAATAACAGCTTCAGAACTGAGCGTTCCACACAATAGTTCGGAAGATTAGAAATCGTTTCAAAGGAAAGCAGCCGTCCAGTGAAATATAGCGATGTCAAGTGACCCACGTTTCAACAATATGGCGACTATTTTGCAGTGTAGTCAACATAATATGCGTTACTTTCAGGAGAAGCAGGCATCACACCAGCGCTTCTCAAACTGTAAAATCTTATATTACCACATTTATGGATGGAAACAAAAATTATATTGGTACTTCTGAGGTTGGAAAGGGGGCGAAAATGTTATAGACCGTTCTCTTTCAAATCCGAACTGCGCAATCAACGCTTAGTTTTTCACTCTGACGTTGCCAACGATGGATGTGTCTGGCTGAATGGAATTCACACGCAGGCCGATGGCAGAGGGAAATGGAACAATGGCTCCCGACCAAAGAGTAGAACAAGAGGCCGTGACCATCTGCATGCGATGCTATTTTAACTCCGCAAAAGAGAACCGAATAAACGATGAAAGAATGCGTCCAATATGGCCCGTCCTAGCGTTCCACGTGTTTCAAAATAATTTGTGGAAATGTATGCGTAGCTTCTTACAATATATTGCAAGGAAATGTATTTCTCAGAAAAACTGACTGCAGTAGGTTAGACATCCGTTAAACTGCTCATTTCTACGCTTTTTTTATTGCTAGTGGGGTGGGACTAAGTCTTTTGTACTGCGGCCACTTCTGGCCTATTGTACCAGCCCCAGATGATAGGTGAGGGGGATTGTGGAGCAATTGGTGGAATTAAGATTGGCAGGGGAAACCGAAGTACTCGGAGAGAACCTGCCCTAGCACCAGTTTGTCCACCATAAATCCCATTTGACCAGACCCGGGATCGAACCCGGGCCGCCGCAGTTGGAAGCCAGCGACTAACCGGTTGAGCTATGGCGCGGCCCATAATTCTATGCTTACTTAAATTTGCTTCTATTTCGATTCTAGCAGGATTCACCTCATTGTGTGTTATACGTGTTAAACACCCATTTACCAAACCACACATCACAACCCAGTAGACCGAAATTTAAACATCTTCCTGTTTTTATAAAACCGACACAAATTTTTTGATAGTTTCAGGTAAAAGTAACTAATGGCTGCCTATGTTGGTAAACTGTCATTTTGCAACTTTATTTCGTTGTCATCACAACACAGATACAAGGCTATACTGTTGAAGTGACCTTTTAGGTTACAACGGAATTAGTAATTGAAAGAATGTAAGTAAGGATGTTACTGTCTTCTGGGACGTGACCCTGAAGATGGAGGCAGCAGATTCCTCCGTAACATTGGAACTATCCAACTTTTAGATCTGGCCGTTCTCAGCAGACTGCGTAATGGATATGGTCAAGTACACTAAGATAAGGATTGCATGGTTTGCGTATGGCCGCCCCACCTCCCTCCCAACACAATGCAACCACTGTCCCGCTACTTTTTGCCATATTTCTCCGCACTTCCGGTCACGCACAACGCAGAGGTCGGTTCTGAAAGTATAGTCAATATTGTGACATGAGGCCTGAAATCCGGAGAGCGCCTGGCTAACACACGTTTTCGTGACAAGTTGTAAAGATCATTTTCTAGGCAACGGCTCGGTAAATAACTAAAAACCGCAATAGTGAAGTAAGACACGGAATCATTCCTTTGTTAGGCAACGATTCATGTACGTTTCCGAGGCAGCGCATTCATGAAGAGCCGCATTGGAATCGTTGGAAGCGGTGGCCTCTATTGGGTTCCCTCGCAGTTATAAAAGGGAGTTCGTTCGTGAATTCAAGAGATTGTCCCGTGTGGAGGCGGCGTCGAATCCGTCCACCGTAGCCCTGCTAGTCGTAGAAGGCGACGAAAATGGAAGTCTCGAATCTGAGACAGTAAAATATGGTCGCGAGCAATCTCTTCTGGAATCGAAACCGCGACTTTCCAGCTTATAGCATAGCGCCTCATCCAATTACGCTACCGCTTGCTTCTCCAAACTTAAATAAATAATATGCGAAATATATGAACCGGATAGGAATAGTTAAGCATGTAAATCGGGCTTTTGTAAGGTGGTAATAACATTTCGGCCTGTGAAGATGCATCAGATACAGTTCCACGAATCCAGGAAGCTATGCATGAGATAAACGAGAATGATCATAACGTGGTAATAACATTTCGGCCTGTGAAGATGCATCAGATACAGTTCCACGAATCCAGGAAGCTATGCATGAGATAAACGAGAATGATCATAACGTGGTAATAACATTTCGGCCTGTGAAGATGCATCAGATACAGTTCCACGAATCCAGGAAGCTATGCATGAAATAAACGAGAATGATCATAACGTGGTAATAACATTTCGGCCTGTGAACATGCATCAGATACGGTTCCACGAATCCAGGAAGCTATGCATGAGATAAACGCGAACGATCATTATCTTCTGTGCTGGAGTGCCGAGTGTTCCGCCGTGTCTCAATTACTGCAGTGTGCAGGTGGAAACATGTGTCAACACACGTCATACGGTGTGCTGGAGACAAGCAAGCCACAAAACCTCCGATTATGAACCCCAAAGGCCTCGAACAACTTAATATTACGCAAACCAACTCTACGGTCCACCTCCTGAATATCGTCACATTCGCCATCTTCCCGTTCTCTCTAACTCTATGGAAGCGGGTTCTTGTTGACAGGCCCTCAGCTACTTAACGCGTTCGCTTGCCTCTAGGGCTATTTACTTTATCGACTGTGAAAAGCCACTGGCATAAATTCTGAATAAGGTAAAGTTGTTCCTGTGCTTAACTAATTGCCATGAAGACGTATGACGGAATGCATGTACAGATCTATATTTTCTTGACCTCGCCACTAGTTGGAGGTGAGCGGTCAGTTTCACGTCCCGACTGATTTAACCCCGGGGAAAAGACCTCGGTACCTATTGGATAGGAGGCTGGATGGGCCCAAGATCCAGTCTGTACGACGTGGAGAAGGGTTCACCCTACCGGGTCTCGAACCCCGACCCTCCGCCGTCCAGCCCGTAGCCAGCCGCTATACCCACTGTAAATCCTAAATGTTCACTTAAAGTCCACCTACCCTGTAAACGAATGTATGCCATACTCGGCATGGGCAACCTTACAGAAGAAAATTTCTGTGTAAAGATGTTTCGATTTCCCACCGGTCTATGAATACAGGATTTATGTTGAAAATACTGTGATATGACGCTTGAAATTCGGATTAGTGGAGCCAGAGTCAGACGTCCGTTGTTGGGCAACGGCTGGACAAACACTAGTTCCCGTTACAACAAACAGCAAAGGAGACGTTACCAGGTAACAAGTTACTGAACATAAGATTCTCGGGACAACTAACCGGACTGCTGGGCGTGGTGTACTCTATGCGGGCCGCCTAGCGGTGGAGGCGGAGTCGAATACCTCCACCGTAGCCCTGCGAGTCGTAGAACGCGAAGAAAAGGGAACCCAGTGCCTGGAGGTATAACCGGGCCTCCCTGTTCCTAGGGGATATAAATATGGGGATCTGGCCCTCCAGGTGGGGGGAGTCTCGAATCTGAAACAGTAAATTATGATCATGAGTCCCACGGGACTTGGATCTGTAAATGACTACGCTGGCGAGGACCAGCAGCAATTTGAAAAGACAAACCCATCTTCTCGTCAGAGAAGGACTATAACCGCAAGTCTTTAGTTGGAAAATAAAAATTGTGATCGTGGGTCTCAAGGGACTTGTCACCAAGATGAACTGATAGACGGTAAACCGCCAGTCGTGAAGTAACTCTGCCTCTAAGGTGAGATTCAGACAACAGTGAGAGATTCAACAAACAGACGTCGTTAAAAAGGCGTTCAATGTGTGAGCTGCTATAATCAACTGTAACTGTAGTAGAGACGCCCAATAAATCCAATCATCAAATCTAAAACCCACCATTATTAGTCACGCCTACCCTTATACGTGACAATATTATCGAATAAGATATTATCTTCTGGGATATAACGCCGTGTAATCCGTTGAAAATCAACTGAATTTTCGGAGGAACATACCGCCTCCATCTTCATAGTCGAAGAATAAGTCGAGCAAAGACATCAGATACAAAGAAAGATACTAGAATTAAAATTTAAAGCTAAAAAGACTTGCGGACGAATGAGGTGCTAGAAGACGTCGAGAAGAAGGGTAGAACCTAGCAAGATATCGAAAAGGATAGATTCTGGGAAGAATGAATGAATTTAGAAATGTTTATCATCTATTAACTAGTATAAAACGAATATGACATTAGAATGAGAAATATGAGCATGAAGTACTGTATGAGAAATTGATGATTCAGACTTACCATGACGGCGTTCATCTTTATGTCCATCATATTCTTCACTTCAGCCGCCATTTCTCTAATTAGGATGAGGCCATCTTTCCTTATCACTTCCACGTCAAGATCGTGGTATTTCTGTAAACATACAAACAGTCGTGACACAAAACTGCAAGGAAATAAAGTGTTCTTCTAAGTAGTCCAGCTACAGGAGTCAACGAGTGAGTAAGTGAGTGGTTGTGAAGAGAGCGAGAATGAGTGAGAGTGAGGGCCAGTAGAGGGGGAGTGGCCAGCAATAGTCAGACCCATCTTCTCGTCAAAGAGGAGGCCCCATTTCAGAATACGTAATGACTGTAAATAACAAAAATGTGTTCACTGGTCCCGACGGTAATCGAAACCATGGACCACTATGCTGGCGAGGACCAGCAGCAATTTACCTAACCGACCGTTCAGCTATAACATATGCACAGCGCCACAAGGTTCCTCGAGGAAGGAAACAGATCCAGTATACGAAATGTTGTGTTCTCTAATGTGTTTAGAATACCGGACGATGGACAAGTCCGAGAACTCTGTAATTCTGAAAGTTAGAGTAACTAATTTCTTTTTAAATATATAACACGCCGATTAAGAAATATAACTGTGCTCCCATAATTAGAAACAGATTTTGAACGAGAATTCAAATCACATCAAAACGTTTTCAGTTTTATTTCCACGACTACACTCCGTGATATACGACGGAGAACGAGATGGGCGGAGCATGTAGAGCACAAGGGGAAAAGATGAGTACATACAACGTTTCTGTAGGAATTCTTAAAGTAAAGAGGACACTTGGAAGAACTAGATATATATTGGAAGATAATATTAAAATCGATCTGAAAGAAATGAAATGGGATATTGTGAACTAGATTCATCTGGCTTAGGATAGAGACCAGAGGTGGGCTCCTGTGAACACGGCAAAGAATTTTCCGGTTTCATAGAATGTTGACTAGTTGTGCAACTGTTAGTTTCTCAATACTATGGAAGGGTTCGGCTGTTTTGCGACACTGCCAGATGTTAGACTTCATAGCGTCGAATATTACGGTAATTTGGTGAATTGGAAAGAATTTTGAAAGGAATGGTCGTGGCCTACTCTATGTTCTATCCCGGTATTTGCCTCGAGGGGCCGATTACAGCGCTACCGCTATGCCAGCCTGCTTGTTTCCGCACCATGGAGTTAGTTATTAGCACAGGGGCACATTTGTTGCATTTTGATAATGGACCACTCCATTTGCCACGGACAAACCCAGCCTGTCTATCCGAGAATGGCCTCATTCCTGTGTGACACAAAGGGCAATGACCTCAACTGACTTCTTCCCAAAGTTAGCTCGGCTTGCGACACATGACAGTAAGTCAATGAGATTTCATGACGCTGCATGGAGTCGTGAGGTTATTTCTCTCTATGACGTAGATGCTAATGAGTGAAAGTTGGTGATGGGGTGCGAATGGAAGAGGGACAGCCGGGGGTGAGGTTCCCCATAACCATATCAACTGAGCGCGTCTTCTTTACATCTTGTCACTTCCTGTCGCTCTACTGTCTGTCTCACATCTGTGAGGAGACGTTGTGACTTGAACACGCAACTTTCCAGTCGCGCTATATCCCTGGGGTCGACTCAGCCTCTAACAGAAATGAGTACCAGGAATCTTCCCGAGGGTAAAGGGCGGCCAGCTTCACCGCCATCTATAAGTCGTTTGTCTAGAAAATGTGGGAACCTCGACGTCTCACAAACCTATAGGCCTCGACGGCCTGTTATATGGAGAGCTCTATCGTTTTACCCTTATTATTAATAAGTAGTAGTGTAACAGTTCGAGGAGGATGAGGTGGGCAGGGCATGTAGCACGAATGGTGGAGAATATAGAATAGAATATTGGTGGGAAAGCCAGAAGGAGAGAGTCCACTAGGAAGACCAAGGCGTACGTGGGTGAACAATATTAGAAAGGATCTTAGAGAGATAGGATGGGATGGTATGGATTAGATTGATCTGGCTCAGTATAGGGACCAGTGGAGGGCTCTTGTGAACACGGTAATGAACATTCGGGTTCCATAAAATGCTGGGAAATTCTTGAGTAGCTGCAGAATTGGCGGCTCCTCAAGAAAGGCTCAGCTCCATAAGTAAGTGTAGCTAAGGTGCTGCAGTACCACAGGACTATATCTATAGTATGAGGGACCAGAATGTGTGGGCTGATAGTTCTTTTGTGAGTTATTTTCTGATGCTGTCAGTACCTAGACTATACACAATTGAAGGGTAGGTTGATTGATGAACTGGAAACCATTTGAATTCAAGATAATATCTCGGAATTTGCCTGACGGGACAGAGGAAAAGCAACCTGATAGAGGCCAGCATTTTTAATACACGAAAATAACCGGTTGCGTGACTGTGTTTTACCCACCTGTATCTCAATAGACACTTCATTAAACTGAATTGAAACACGGTCATCTCTTTGCCGTTCCAAACTCTTTGGAGACAACCGAGAACGGAAGTAACAGTCTAGTTCCATTTCCAATCCAAAGAGTGCGTTAGTGAAGGATAATGGCAGTGAGATGAGTTTCTGTTCGCACAAAGGGGAACAAATTCAATGCAATTAGAATGAAAGACTCTGGAAAGACAATAAACCGTTAAAACAGCAGGAGATACTCAGCCAGGAAGGAGAAGCAGAGAGACACGATAAAGAGGGAAGAGAGAGATAAGAAAGAGGTGCAAACAGAGCAATATTCATTTGCATTGTTTACTCTTGTTACAATTAACAACGAATTCAATAGCTTAGGCTATTTGTATATAAAACGTCTAGTGATTGGTAACGGAAAACTTGTTCGTGTGCTTCATTAATTAATTACCACGCCATGAAAACGAATGGGGATTGGAGGTATAGCTCCACCATTCTTGACTTGGGTTCTAGATGGAGGTGAGTGGTCAGCCCCGGTCACTTTACCCCGGGGGAAAAGCCCATAGGACGCTTTGGATAGTAGGTTGGTTGGGCCCCAGAGCAGGTCTGGACGCTGTGGAGAAGAGATATATTTCTTGTAACTGCCGGGAATCAAACCCTGGCCATCCAACCTGTCGCTATACCGACTGAGCCACAGATCGTCGATCGTTATAATGGCTAGTTACCGTGATATTTCCAAATATAATAAGAATATTTTACATATTTTTTCCCCCGTTGAAAATGAAGCGTGTCTTAAATTCGAGGAATGTGTATATTTCTAAATTTTCCCCCTAAAACCCACATCCAGAAACTGGACGCATCTTAAATTCGAGATCTTCTTGTATTCGAAGTAATACACTCCTCGTCACTCATGGAGCTGAGCCCTTCTTGAGAATCTGCCAATTGTGTGGCTACTCAAAGACTTCCCAGTATTTTATGGAACCCGGAAGTTCATTACCGTGTTCACAAAAGCCTTCCACAGCTCCCTATCCTGAGCCAGATCAATCCTATCCATACCACCCCTTCCTATCTCTCTAAGATCCATTTTTATATTATCCACCCACCTACGTCTTGGTCTTCCCAGTGGTCTCCTTCTTTCCGGCTTTCCCACCAAAATTCTACACGCATTCCTCTTTCCCCGATTCGTGCTACATGTAATGCCCATCTTATCCTCTTTGAGTTGATCATTCTAAATATATTTGGAGAAGAGTACAAGTTATGAGGCTCCTCATTATGCAGTTTTCTCCAGCCTCCCGTCACTTCATCTCTGTTTTTTTTTTATTTTATGATCTTTCGTAACAAGCTTGTTTTACCATGATGAGTTGTTAGCCCCACGACCAACATCCAAGCTGGAGGACCACCCCTTGTCGGTTGTCTGCGGCTGCTTATTCAATGTATTCGCAGCTAACCTTCATAATTCGAAGTAATACGGTAATTATAAATCGGGAAGGATGTGTAAGCGAGGATTTACTATCTCAGACTTCTTTCTGGAGGAACTGAGGAAATCCATGAAATACCTCAAGACAGAACAGCCGGTCTCCGGGCAGGCAGGATTCCTGACCACACTCCGGCGAAGAAGACATGAGGAAAATGGCGGAAGAAGGAGCTTAACTTCTGTAAGAGTTGCGCCTCCCTCGTTACAGCTTTATCCGCTTTGACCAGCTCGTTCCAATATGTCGAAAATTTATTTTACGTTTATTTTTTCTCGAGTTTCCATTTCTCAGCTGTCAGTCCAGTGATCTGTGTGGTAGTTCAGTGCCAGGCTCCGTGGCATTCGGTTGAGGTTCCCACCGCCGGTCCAGCGCTGATGTCCCTACACTGATCCGATTTCTCGACTTTACTTTAATTGAAGTTCTGGACGCTAGAGCGTGCTGCAAGCATTTGTGTTGAACTGAAGTTTGTTAAGAAACTTTAATTGTTACGTGCAAAGCGCATGTCGTAATAAACAGGGATTCGTATGCACACCGAATGGGGCGTGAAGTAAGGGAAGTTCTAGCAGGCTACATCAGCGTTACTTTTACTCCTGAGTTCAAATTTGGAGTTTAAACTCACATCACAGTTAATGTGTCCCATTTAATTTCAGTCCAACCAGGTATTCCAGGACCTTCCTAATGGCACTGTCTGAAACAAAGTTGAAAAGGAGTGGTGATAAAGCATCTCCTTGTTTTAGACCATTCTGGATAGAAAAATTATCACACAAATGTTTACCTATACGGATTTTTTATCATATTTGTTTAAACATATTTTAATCAGCCTGGCTAGTTTCATGGGTAACCCAAACTGTCAGAATATTGTACAATTCTTCCCTCCTTACTGAAATTTCAAAATTCGAGTAAAAACCGTTACAGCTTCAACCAATTCGGTGGAATATAATGTTAAAATATATGTTGGAGTAATGTGGCCTGAAGATATGGACTACATTCAACCAGTCCACATTAGGGCCCAATAACAAGAGTTCTGTCAACACGACAGTGGATCTATTAATTCATAAAAGCAGGGAATTCATTGACCAGCCGAGCAACCATGTAGCATGCAGTGAATCAGTTGTGTGTTCTCAATTTATTACTTTGAAGTCACCCAGCCAAATGTTCCATTTTTTATTGCTAGTGGGGTGGGACTAAGTCCCTTGTACTGCGGCCATTTCTGGCCTATTGTACCAGCCCCAGATGATAGGTGAG